GACTCTGAGCCTCTACCTCCCCTGCTGTCTCTCGGCCCCTGCTGTCCATGTGTCTGTCTCGGTGTCCAGCTCGGCAGTGTCTGATGTCATCCGCTGTTTCGATATCTGTCTCTGCTGTCCGTGCAGTGCCACAACCACCAGCACCTCTCCCGTGCCGTGTGCAGTGGCTGCCGGCTGCTGCTCGACTCTAACGCAGTCAAAGCTCTCGGAACCGTGACAGCGGCGCGAACACAACGCCGAAAATGAACAGCGAGCGCTGCGCTGCCTACTGCTGCTGTCGCGTGGCTGTTCGCGGTTGTGCTGCTGCATAGCTCTCCGATGTGCTGAATGATGGCATGCACCGCGTGGTTATTCACTTCCTGAAGAAGCTCCCAGCGCGTGCATGCGAAACGTCGGACAAGACGCCAAACAACACGCGGTGGAACCCGAAAACACATCGTAGGGCAGCCGTGCCGCACTCAACCGGCTGCGTTATTCCTTTCTGGTTCTAACCACTCTGCCCAATGCTTAAATAATTAAACAATAAAACACGGCAGCTAAAGAAGCGGTGAGTGGGTTGAATTGTGTTCATTGCACCGTGGAATTTCTCTGGGGCTTATTATCAACAGCGCTGTAAAAACCCTTGGCTCGGGAGTTTAGGACAGAGCGACCCTTGCCCAATTCAGGACTTGGTGGTGCTCACCTTCATTGCGTGCTAACCCGTCGGATTCATTCCACGTTACTGCGACGAGGGACAGTCTGCATATCTATCAACTTGCCAATCACTTTTGGAAAGCAAAAGCCAATAACCCCAGGACTGATGGAATGTAGGAAGATTTACAAAGCTATTCGATACTCTTCCCACTCCCCCGCCCCCCACTCCCCCGCCCCCCACCGACCCTGGCGCTTCGATTAATTGTCACGATTCAAGGGGGCAAATCCAAACATCGAATCAATGGCGTTTTCTTTTTTTAACTTTGGGATGTATATAGCGGCCACCAGTTGCTTCGAGGATCACGTGGACCCACTGAATGTGAAGGTGCTGCAGCCTCGTGCGATATTTGCCCACATCGCCGCTGGCGGGAGGGCCTCCGCTAGAGGGAGCTCAAGAGAGCCCCTCTAGAGGGTATTTGGCCTACTCATTCCACATCTGTTAGAAGAGATCATGATACCCATGCTTTACCCCACCGCATGCGACCTGCCGATGGCCTAACTGGGGTAAACCCATCGTGCTACTGCTGAGTAGACGGGGTGGGGGGGGGGGGGTGGCGGGTGGGGCAGTAGGAATTTCGATGAGCTTAAGAAATTACACGAATCGATGAACGATGGGTCGTTGCACCCACCTCCAGCACCGGAGTGCTTTAAGTTGGGTGCCTAGGGCAGAGGTCAGAGGCCCGGTTACTGATCAGCCAGACTCACTGCAGGCTTCGTGCCGTTCAGAGGGCATTGGTCCTCCCAGAGTGGCGGCAAGCTATCTCCCCCCCCCCCTCCCCCCGCGAGAGAAACACTTTTACTGAGAACATCGGAACGCGGGGACCTGACCTCACCCCGAGTCCTTGCCCCGTGTGCTCTGCCCCGAAAGGGCAGGGTACAAAATGCCCCGCAGGTCCCCCCTCGCCACTTCCTAACTCGCTGTGCTGTGCTGTATGCGTGCGTGCGTAACGCGTGAACACGTCTCTTGCTCACTATGTCCGAACCTCCTCTCCTCTTTTCTGCACGGGGCTCTTGACGCAGAGCTGCGCCCAGTCCGGGACCCTGCCCGTTTCCTCTCCTCCCCCTCCTCCTCCTCCTCCTCCCTCTGGCGGGGCCCTCTCGCGAGGCCAGCGGCACGAGGCCGCCACCAGGGCCGTCGCCCTCATGGGGGGCGGCGGAGAGGGGCATCGGCCTCTCGTGCCGATCACCAGCCCCGCGAACTTCATAAAACAAATTATTAAAGGGAGTGACGCGTGGAGGGGAGGGAGGGAGGCGAGGGGAAGGGAAGGGAGGGATCTGGGTGCCCGTGCAAACCTTGGAACGCGCGGGGTGAGGCAAGCAGGCACAGGCAGTGCCGACCCACGTGTAGTTTTTGTTCACGTTGGCTGCCCGAGTCCCGTGGCGTACCCAGGCCGCGCCGGGGTAGCGACGCTGCGTTTCTCCCCCCCACCCCTCCCCACACACCACCCAGGTACAGGGAGTTTATATATATTTATTGTAATGAATAAAAATAAGACACGGATATATTTCCAACCATCCTAAGGATGTGACATCTGAAACCCGACTGGTCTGGTAGATCATTCCAAGAGGAGGAAGCGATGCTTTTGAAACCCGATGCTGCCTTAACACTGCCCGCAAAGTACTGGGTGCCCGTCCCCAATCGCCCCTCTCCACCATCACCCCCCACCCCTTATGGCAATGACTGGAAGTGACTGGCAGTGCCCTGCAAGCTCCGTGAGCTGCTCTGGGGTTTTTTCCACGTGGATCTCGCAATCGCGACGTGGGCGGTAGTGGTGTCAAAGTCTCACTCGCAAAGTGCAGCCCCCCCCCCGCGACCCTGGAGGAGATGACACTTTATCGACAGCTCTGCCCACCTCGCACCCCCCCCCCCTCTCGATTTTGATTCACCGAACCTGCCCTGTGGCAAACGGTTTTGTGGTTGTGATACTGCGTTGGCAGTGGTACAAGAGCAGAGGTAACACCAGAATCCCAACACATTCGTTAATATCACTGCCCAAATATCAGGGGCAATGCCCCTTCTCGACCACAGAGGGAACACCGTGGCGGCTGCCTTCAGTTGTAGCGAAGTTCATCCCATGCCCCCTCCCCGCCCCCCACCGTGTGTCTTGGAAGGCAGATGGAAATGTTTGCATCGCGAGATCATGAGAGATGGTGGAGAGATGACGGCTGACGATGATAGTGCATGCAGGAGTGAGACAAGTAACTGCAGCATCACCCCACGCCCAGGCGCGTGCGTGCGTGTGTGTGTGTGAAGGGTGCGGTAGCATAGTGGTTGGCACACTGCGGGCGACCTTGGTTCGATTCTCGCTTCTGACCAATTTCAGTGAAGAATATCGTAACTGCTCTGGAGCATCCCCACGAGGGAGACAAAGATGGCCGGGCATTGTTCTGGCCAAACCACCCCCTGGTGCTCGCCCGCTCACAGCACTTATCCCAACAGTTTGTTCGGGTGATGGTTGTTTTCCCTGTACAGGAGTCTGTGTGACAGTGCATGTATGTATGTGGGGAGCGGAGGTGTAGCAGTTAGCGCGCTGCACTACGAACCTGGAGACCAGAGTTCAATTTCCGCTCATGGCATCCCCTAGGTCGATTCAGCCTCAAATGAGTACCTGGTGCAGTGTGTAAACATCGACACTGGGGAGACAAAGGCGTCCGGGCGTGGTGCTGGCCACCCACCCCCTCGCGTGCCATTCCGGCTTTCATAGGTGCTCTCTAACAGCACTTGCCCCAGCAGTCTGTTAAGGGTATATGGGGGATCTTTGTATTAATCTTTTTGTATGTTTGTGGGGAGCGGTAGCGTAATGGTTAGCGTGTTGTGGTACGAACCTGGCGACCCGAGTTCGATTCCCACTCACGGCCAGCACCAGTGACGATTGTCTGAACCGGTTCCGGCCCTTCCCTAGGTCAACGCAGCCTCAAATGCATGCCTGGTGTGGTGTGTAAAAACATTGCCACTTGGGGGACAAAGGCGGTCTGGTGTGGTGCTGGCCACTCACCCTCTCGCGTGCCGTGCCGGCCTTCAGGAGTGCTCGCTAACTAGCACTTACCCCAACAGTGTGTTAAGGCTATACGGGGGATCTTTGTCTTTTTATGTATGTGCGTGCATGCGAGTGTCTATGCAGGTGTGCGTGCAAGTGTCCGTGTGTGATGGAGCGAAGTTACGCACTTTTTCTGCATTAAAATCCCTACCGCCGCTCAAATGCCTTTGATAATTATAAAAATGAATGGAGGCAATAACTAATTAAATAAATAAAAAGCTTGGTAAGCCGACAGGAGGATATTTGTCTTTGGAAGGGGAGGGGGTCTCCGAACCAAACACGGATGTGAAGGGATAGGGCTCTTCCACATTGCTTGGTTTTATTGCTTAGGGAAACGTGTGCTACAAACAGGCAGCGGGTGGGGGGGCGAGAGTGGTGGTGGTGGTGGGGATGGGTGATATGGTAAGGGGGCTGCACGGCCCCTTTAAGCCGCGCCAGAGTTTACGAGGAGGTGACACCGCTGGTAAATGACTGCCCAAACACTGCAGACTACAGTCACATGGCAGAGAAATCCCAAAAATGGACACGGTCTCTCTGGATCCCCTTCGCTGCTGCTGCCTGCTTGACAGCCATGATGCAGTGGTGTAAGGAATTAAATCTCCCCCGCCCCCCTTCCCTTTACAATTTTCCGCCGCACCCCCCCCCCCCCCCCCATATATGTAGATTGGTGTCTGGACCCCCTCCAGCCTGCGAGCTCTGGTGGCAATTACACCGCCTGCACACCCAACAGATGTGCCACTGCCTTAATCGTAAGGGAGCCTTATTCTGGCTCTATGCCCCTCTTGACTAACATAATAAACTGTAAAATGTAACCCTTTGAAAGCCTTAGTCTAGCTCTATGAGTCACTGTTATTAACACTGATCCCTAGTAGAGTAGTAATCTGGCTCTATTTGTTCATACTGAACCCAGAGGGAGCCCCAGCCTGGCTCTATGAGCCAGAGAGGTTAACACTGAAGCCAATGGCGTAGTATGGTTGGTATGGGCTCTTTTACAATCCCAATTGAGTAATCTGCAGGTAGTTATTTTTCAGCATTGTGATGCTTTTGACCAATACTAGTTCCATCTGATTAATATTTTTTTTTTGCTATGGCAGGACACCACTGAACCTGGTAGGGATCCCACGTGGCACAGGGGGAGAGAACATGCAAACTCCGCACAGAAAGGCGCCCGAGTTGGGCATTGAACCCAGGCCCCTTTCTCGCTGGATGGCACAAGAGACAGAGCAGCAGCGCACCACCTGGCCGCTCGCGGCGTCAGCGAGAGCTCACCTGGAAGCCCGCCTGCTCCCCGTACCACTTGAGAGCCCCGAAGAAGCCATCGGTGTCGAGGTCGCTCACGTCCAAATCAGGCAGCTCCAAGTCGGGGTCAGGGTCCACCAGGTCAGAGGTGAGGTCAGACGTCAAATCAGCCGGGCAGCACAGGGGCTGGTCGTCTCCAAACAGGGCACCCGCCTGCGTACACGCATGCAAGCACGCACGCACACAGACGCAAGCATGACAATTAAAGAGTTGCCAAAAGGAATACCCAGTAATGCGATTGCAGGGCCGATGCAGAGGCGATATTTGGTGGTGTGGCCTCGCTTCGATGGCATTGCCTGTCACGTCCGCTAGCCGAACAGAGAACCGCTCATTCATCGACACGCGCCATTGACTGTGTTCCCCCGCAGAGCCGGACCCACGCATACCCCAGCTCCTTTCCCTTTGCCCCCCGCAGTCAAGAAGCCACCCTCCACTAGCCACAATACTCCCCCGTTCCGCTCCCCTGCTCGGCTCGCCTCGCCCGGTACGGGGCCCAAGCTTAGGCGTCCTGTACCTTGGACATGTGCTGCACGCACAGTCCTTGTTGTGAATCCACTACTGGCTGAGGATCTCACCAAGCCGAGCGGGTCGTGGTGTGGTGGGGGGGGGGGGGTATTTTCCCATACTTCACCGCACTAGTCAGTGCGGATGGGTGAAGGTGGATAACACAAACACGTGAGCATAGAAGTACAGTGAACCGTTGATTGGTTAATTTTTTAATTCAGCCCGCATACCTACGACCCTATCTGATGTGCCTTATCTCGCTGTAGAACGCAGCGGTGTTGCGCCCACGTTTTATGAGCAATGAGCAAAGAGGAAAACACGATTCAGCGCAGAATAAAATCACGCTGGCGCTCGCTCGTTATCACTGCGGCGCTGCCTGCGCCTTGAAAGTGGCATCGCACCAGGGGTGGCGGGGGGGGGTTAAGGGAGATAATCTGGTGAAGGGCGCTGGGGTGGGGAGTAGAGATAGAAACGGGCGGGGGGGGGGGGCACAGAGGACAATGATCCAGTGGGCACTGACAATTCTCGTGCTGTGGAGGGGGGTGGGGCAGTGTTTGGGGTGGGTGAGTGGTGATGGTGGGGAGAGAGCGGCGACATCATCTGGAATTGATTTTTCGAGTTCCCAAAGTCACGTGCATCCAATCCACGGCGATTCAACGCGGAGAGGTGGTTATGTGTGCCACCCAACGGGCCTGCTCCACACTGCTGCTCGCATTCCTATGGAATGTAAAACCCCGTGCTGATTGCGGGCAGCGCAAAACCCCCCGCCCCCCGGGGTCCCGCGAGGAGCAGAAGTTTATCACGAGTCCGGCAGAACCGATATCGTCTGTGACGTTGAGCGCTCGCACACGTGACGCGGCTGTGGCGCTGCTGCGCCGTCCACGGAGCGGTGGGATCGTGTTGCGCTGCTCCGCTGTCGCGCTATTCCAAAGTTCAAATCTTCTTTTCACTTATTTATTTTATTTTTGTTTACGACAGCCTGGCTCTCCGACACACTCGAGGGTTCGTCATCATCAACATCATCACCACCGCCATCACTGCTGTACAACTCGAGATTGAAGTCCCGTCCACTCGCTCTTTCTCTCTCTCTCTCTCAAACGCTCACCGCTCGTGACCAGCCGGTAATCACAATCGTCTCCCGTACCCACCTCCCTCCCCCAAACAACACCACGGCGTTTAGCAGCACCGGCACATCCAACGACGAGATGATTCATTGAACCGGATCCCAGACACGTTCGTGCCGAGACGTGGCTCATTGCGACTGCGTGCCGGATGCGCGCGTGCGAACTGCACACTGCGCCGTCAAACCCACGAGGGACAGACTTCTTCTTCTTCTTCCGTGTGGCAGAGGCGCGATGGTGAGCGCAGTGACACCGCGCGCGCACGCAGCGAGTTAGGAGCCAGCCGCTTGTATACACAAGTATGAGAGCACGAACGTGGGGAAGCCGTAAGGCGACGGTTCACAACACGTGGCCTTACGAAACACCACACGCACGCACACACCCACACACAAAACCTCCAAAGGCGGCTATTGGTTACATCACGCAATGCGGCGGGCATCGTGTTGAAGCGCCGGTTATCCGCCACGAGACGTCCTGCGACACGCGCGATTCGTTTACGTAGTGAAACTCTCACTCGGACCGATGCCGCTGCTGTGCAACGCACGGAGAGCAGAGCCCCCAACACCCCCCCCCCCCCCCACCCGATTCTCAATCCGGCATCGGTAACGCGCGCGGTGGTGTGAATGAGAATTCCGCCGTATTCACCACTCAACGCCACACTGAACGCGCCGCGGCGGACACAATCGAACGCAATCAATCCGGCAAACACCCTCTGATTGTTAAAAAAAGTGAAGGAATGAATGAACGCACCAAGTCCACCAGAACTTCCATCCGTGGCTCGTAACTCCCGATGAGTCAGGGTCTCCTGATCCTCCTGCGGCACTGCTGGGCCGATGCTGAAATCCAGCACCGGTGATGAACGCCAAATCGGTTTTCTCACTCTCTCGCTCTCTCGCACTTTCCCTTGGTCGGTGTCTCTGCCAGTCTTGGTCTCTGTATCGCTCTCCCGGTCTCTCTCTCTTTCTCGCTCTCTGGTTCCCAGCTCAGACCATTCAGGTGCGGACCACTCCACTCCAGCCCCTGGCAAGCACGCGATTCTCACTGGCTCTACAGAGCCACGCCTCCGCTTGCCTCCTCCCATTTTTACAATTGGCCTGGCAAACCGCCCTCCACTCCCCAAACCCTCCACAGTCCTCCCCACCCTTTAACGCACCATTAAGAAACACCCCCTCGGCACGTTGCCCTACCACCCCCCACCGCCTCCCCCCCGCCCGCAGAGCCCACTCTCTCTCTCTCCCTTCCTCCCACCCACCCAACCACGCGGACAGACCACAACTCCCTCCCTTACAGTCCTTGCCTGTCCCTGCCGATATCAGAGTCCGATCGCATTAAACTGTAACCCGCTCGACGCGGCGCGTTCTGCACAGATCATCTGTACCAAGGCGCGGGCGTGGAGTTGGAGGGGTGGGGGTGGGGCTGGCTGGCGGGCGGGCGGATCGCGGTGGTTTCGGGTGGAGTTGTGGCTCTGGGACCAGAGAGATGCGGCCCAAACCTGAACTCGTCAGGGGCCCGAACGCGACTTCATTACAAAGTCCACGTCGCTAAAGTTGCCTCCCCCCCCCCGCCGCTGTCTATTTTTTTCCGTCTTGTGTTTTGTGCCGAAGCAAAAAAAAAGAAAATTAATCACGGTTTACGATGACAGATTAATTACGGTGGATTTTTTTATTGTTGTTTTTCTGTGAGAAGGATTTCATTGAGGGTTCCAGGCTAGGCGCCGAGGTGATTTTAATTTGAAGGACGCACGCAAGAACACAGAAGGGGTTTCTATGGGCGCACTGACATTGGGAATGGACAATGTCACTGAGGGCCTTGGAAACGGGATTCCTGCCCCCCCCCCCGGCCACAACACTGGCGGCAGCAGACGCAACCCACGTCGGTGAGGCTGAGCACGGGGAACCAAGAGGAATGAACATCGGGACGCGAGAGAGACTCGGCAAAGTGGCCAGAGTGAAATCCTGCCACGGCGAGTGCAGCGCGAGACAAAGCCTTGGAGAATTCACCCGCACAAATTGTTCCTCCCCGGTGCGTTTTGTTTTCTCTTCCTGGTGTGATGTCCGACGTTCCTCTCCGCGTGCAGGGAGCTTCTTGAAGGAGGTGGAGTTGGCGGCGCAAAATGTCCGACATCACGCCGAACAGCCACGCGAAACAACCCACAACACCACACGCGCACAGGGAAGCAGTCACGGCGGCGGTAAGCCACTGAGCAGCGGCCCCTTGACGTATGTCGGAGACTCACGATGACACAGCCATCCTTGTCACTGTGAGAGGTAAAGAATTCACAGCGGCTGCGAGGGGGGAACCTCAACGGGAGAACCAGTTCGATGAGGGATAATTACGCAAAGCACCCCACTGGTTGCCCGTGGCTTTGTTGCATCACCACGCACCCCACAGACGGTAGCAATCCCATCGCACGGCTCTGGTTATTACGCCAACTCGGACTCCCAACCCCCAAAGATGCCCGCAGCAGCAGCAGCAGCGCAAAGCGCGTGGTGCTGCTGCTGGGTGGTGCTGCTGCTGCTGCTGCGGGCGAGAAATGTTCAGCACTCGGGCCAACGCGGAAAACCACACTTGAAATAAACGCAGCTGCGGAACTTTACGCGTTAACCCCACGCGTTAACCCCACGCGTTAAAATTCTCAACTCTGTCGATTCAGCCATTTGCCTCACTTGCAAAAAATTTATGTTGTGGGAGAGAATGGAGGAGGAGTCGAGCAAGGGGAGGGGGCATAGATTGGGACGGGGGAGGGGAATGAACACTGGTTGAAGCAGGTAGTCAACTTTTCTGGTCAAAGGCGTGCGTAGAATTTGGATATAAAAATTGGCGATTCCAACCGTGGGCGGCGTGGGACGCGGCTGGATGAGAACGCACCGCCGCAGCCGATGACGGGACGAGTGTCTTCGGTAGTGGGACCTGCCAACGGGCAAGATGAGAAAACTTTGGGGGCGAGAGAGAGGGAGAGAGTGAGTGTCGCCAGAGAAGGTGGAGTTTGTCACGGAGAGCCCAACAGCTGAGCCTACTCCACTGACAGGTGGCTCCCTGGGGGTCCCTGCTGCTTCTGTGTTTGTGTGTTGGAGGGGGAGGGGGGGGGCGGTGAGGGAGGTTTTTGGGAAGCAGTGAGGTCTCGAAAGTACGAGGCTACAATACTCGGTGGTGAGCGTTGGCAGGGCCAAACGTTCGCAGTTAATCGACACACACAAAAAGTGTCTGTACAAAGAAGCGTAGAAAGCGTGGCGTCGAGGAACCTTGGCAAATGTCGCGGGGGTAAGGACTGCACCTCGCTCCGCCCGACAGCTGGATCGACTGTCCCGGCCATCGCGGGGAATTCAGCAGCGGAGAGGGTTCACAAGCGCTGACTGTCGCCTCGCTGCGGTAGTAACACTCCTGGGATGTGCGCGAGGCAGCTGCTCTCGGATCGTTTCATTGTTTCTCTCTTGAAGGAGACACATCTGCTGGGGGTCCATTGTCCCTGGTCCCACTTTCGGCTGTCGGGGGCTTTAACCGTTTTCGTCTTAGGCTCGCCCGCAACCA